TTTACTATTGATTTTGTCAAAGTAAATTTATAAACGTTATATAATTATTAAATCCATTACAGTTCGTGGTTCGATTGACCAATTAACTTTTTTCAATTAATTATTATTTATGAAAGGTATTGGTCGAGATAAAAATTAATTTCGAGAGGTGAGGTTGAGATGGGAAGTTAGTGTCCGAGCGGATCGAAGTCACGATAGTTCAAGTGGTAGGGCAGCGGCGTATTTAGCCGAAGGTCGTGGGTTCGAATCCCGCTTGTGACAGTGACTTTTTTATCTCGACCAATACCTTTCATAAATATTAGTTATATAATTAATTTATTTCACGTAAAATATTCTATTTTATTGCAATCATGTTGTTTGAATAAATAAATCAATTAATAGGGACAGAAAACAATTTGAAAATACAGAGCCAAACTGAAAATTTCTGTATATATTTTTGTTTTAAGTTTCATGCCCAGTTCAAAAATCGGGTTTCGTACTCTCTTAAAACATTGATCTTGGAAAGTATCACAACCCTAACCGTAACCTAACCTAACCTGTCCTTAACTCTAACCGTGGGCTAACTACGACCCCGAAACATCCTAAAAAGTTTGAACATACTACAAAGACAAAAAAAAATCAAGATAAAATCGAATACAATTACATGATAAGCATACGGCTTCAAAACTCACCTAGAACATTGAATCGTGGATAAGTAATCTAATCCTAGCTTACCCTCACATTATCCTAACCGTAACCTAACTCACCCTCACTTAACCTAACCCGTCCTTAACCCTAAACCTGGGCTAACTATATGGCTCCGAAAAAATCCCTTTTAACATTTGAAGTTTTATCAGTCTACAAAGAAAAAGTAGAAATCAAGAGAAAATCAAGTATAATTTAGTTATGCATATAGCTGCAAAACCAGTTAAGGAACCGGTTAGGTATATTCTGTACAACCCCAAAATAGGCAAAATCAAACTAATTAAGGAAACACTTCGATTTTTCGAGCTGAATTACCAAAGGAAACAATTTGGAAATTACAGAGCCATATTGAAAATTTGTGTGTCTGTAACCTAGCCCTACCCTAACCGACCTTCCTGACCTAAACCTTACCCTACCAAACCTCACATAGCCCGTCCATAACTCTCACCATGAGCTAACTATATGACCACGAAAAAATCCCTTGCAACATCCTACAAAGTTGTAACAGACTACAGGGAGAGATTAAGAGAAAAACAATTACAACTACATAGTATGCATATGGCTCCAAAAGCAGTTAAGAAACCAGGTTAAGTATATTCAGTATAGAACCAAATCCAATAAGAGAAATCAAACTCATCAGGGAAACCATTTGGAAAAATACAGAGCTATAATGACAATTTCTGTATTTTTGTTTTAAAGCTTTAAAGTTTTAGCTGAATTTTAAAGCCCACTTTAAAAAAATCGCGTTACGTACTTGCCATACGTTAATACAAGGAGTCATGGTTATGTAACCTAACCCTAACTTACCCTAATATAACCCTAATTGTAACCTAACCTAAACCTTACCTACCTAACCTAACCCGACGATGGTCTCGCCAGTTAATCCATCATATTGCCAGCATTCTGGATTTTCATAATATGATTCCTCCAGGTGCACTGCCAGACATTGAAAGTTTACTTACTAAGTCACTAATCTCACTACCTTAATATCTAGTATTCCTTTTGCCCTCTAACCTGAGAACCCGTCAAGCTGATTTCGAGACGTGCTAACCACTTAATCCTTCATATTGCCAGAATTCTTCTTCCTTTTTTTGTAAGTATGAAAATGATCGAATATGATTTAACGTAATGACTAAAAGAAAAATTAATTAGATTTACCATAGCAATAAAGACATACAATTTCGATCATGTAGGTATGTAATGAAGGATTAGTGACCACACTGGAAATTGTGAAATATGATAGGATTTTTTAGGGTCGCTGAGGAGCCGTAAAGTGATTTGAAATTTTTTCTATTTAGAACTGACCTGAAATTATGTGCTCGAGTTAAAATTTTTACATAAAATTCTCGTCACTTCTAAACTGAAAAATTATGGACATTAATAAAAAGGAATTTCCTTCCACGGAAATTCTCGGTTCTCCGCCGTCGCGAAAAAAACCGGAAACGTTGGATAAAACCAAAATTAGAATTGAAGTGTTTATAATTGCGAAAATTGGGGTTAACTGTTGGCTAGACCATTAAGTGCAAGCATTATTAGAAAACGACGTGACTCGAATTGAGTTCTATTGTACGAAATAAATACATTTCGGCCTTTTATTTTTCTTTTTCCACCCACCTCACAATTGTATTAGTACGTTTTCTCGATACAGGCTGTACAAATCTAATATTAACTTTTTTCTATCCCTCAAATCTTTCTCTTCGTTTTAACAAAAGAGGATTGGAACTATTAATATATTTAATAATCTATTGTTATTTTTAAGTAAGCAAAGTGGCATATCCCAAATTACCCCGAGGAAACAATCGAGTACTTTGGGGTAGTTTGAACGAAGGCTGGTGTGTGATTAAAATTTATTAGCGTGAATGGAAGGGCATATTCCCAATTACACTGAGGAATATGTTGTTCTCTGGGGTAGTGTGAATGCTAAACAGTCTATTATGTTTTATTGTGTTTCTGTGTTTGTTACTTGTGTTATTTTATCTACATTTGACGATGCTCTGAGGTACAGAAAGGTTAGCAATAGAATATAGAAAAGAGAGAATCGGTTACCGTTATATCATAAAACATAGAACGACTGGAGAATCAGTACAAGAAATTAGTAGATTTAAAAACGAGAAAGATAAAAAGAAATGCAAAGCTAAGGAAGAAAGGGGCTGGTGATGACCAATGTAGTTTGGTTTAGTTGGCCCTAAAACTAAAGAAAATGAAAATCTTACTAAGCAAAAACCACCAAAATCTAATTTTGGATGCTAACTTTAAAAAAACTGAATTCTGTAAAGATTGGATTGTTTATTTTGGTGCTAAAGTACTTAAAACTAATTTACTTCAAAAATCTTTCAAAAATATGAAGTATCATATCTGAAATGTATGAAAAATATGATAAAGTTTTGTCTTTCTTCTAGGCTTTCTACATAAAAACAAGCACATTAATAGAAAATATGTACCAGAAATAGTTGTATACGTATGTCGAATAAATGTTTTTTTTTTAATTCGTCTGACCGGTGTATGAATATTTACCTTTTTTTCTGAAACGCCAAATGTACAATACAATAAAGCGACGCACTTATTCAAGACGGGACAGAATACTAAATCGCCTCACAAGAAGTGTTATTCAAGTCTTATTATCCCATAGTACAAAACAGTCCATAAACAACGCAAAACGTGAAAGAGGCACGGTTCTTTCTTGTTATTTTCTTATTTGTACGAAAGGTCGTTGTTCTATTACAGTAAAAAAAAATGAAAATTACATTGTACAAATAGTGTTGCTCCTGCTCTGAAAATCCCTCAGCCCAACACCTGTTTCTTAATATTTGTTTTAATGATTTTAATTTCTTTTGTTAAAAGTGTAACCGGAATGATATTCAAACAGACAAATATGCCACAATTGTACAAAGGAACGATGAATATTAACGAGATAAAAAGGAAGATGACAATTGAAAGTCTGATGAAATACGAGTTTCAACTGGATACAACGCTGTCTGTTTGTTTGTATGTTATACGTGGAATATTACAAACCCCTCATTAAAAAAACAAAAAACAAAAAAAATCAAGTCCCAGGCACTCCGAAAGCCTTCAAGCCCGGTGGGGTCAAATATCCTGTCTCCCTCAACGAAGCACAAGCTCCTGGTTTTGACCTAATTACACCAAACAACTCCCTCAAAAAGGCTATTATATTTTTTGCACACCTCTTCAATTGTATATTTCTCACTGCGCTTGTCCCTTACTGATGGAAACCAGTAGTTACCATATTCTTGACTGAACCTGACAACCCATTTAAATGGCATAGTCATATCCTACCAAAGTTTTCCCATCCTGTCTAAAATTATAGAAATTCTTCTTAAAAGGTTGTTATCAAAAACCTCTAACATTAGTTTGGCTTTCGCTTATAACATTTCACCATCTTGATGTGTGTGTAGGAGTACAGCAGGACGGAATGCTTGGACCAATCTTCTTTATACCACAGATATCCCAACTACACTTAGCAGTCTCCTTTGTCGACAAAGCAATACTATCCTCCGAACACTATCTTACAATATTGCTAGTTTTGTTTTCGATATGACCACATAGTAGAGTGCTTCGAAATCCCCTTTTTTTCAATTTCATTAGTTTATCTTTCGAACCCGATCCTATAATTACTCGGTTTTTTCTGGTACGACAACCCCTGCAGTGATGACAACCCAAGCAATACAAACAAAAACCAAACAACTGTACGGAATAGAACAGTGGGGAAAAGCTGACCCTTCAAATATTCAACGTTTCCAACCCTTTTAATCCAATGTCTTTGGACATACATAAATGCTACTATATTATGTCTCCTATACCGCTCCCAACAATTACCTTAAAACGTAGATCTATTAGACCATGGATTAAGAATAAGTCCTCTATTCAATGGAATGCGTTCCAGGTCAGATTCATGCGAACAATTTCATTGAAGGACCATTGCAGATCGGCAGAACTACTGAAATCATGATAGTATGACTGCTGAGCATACACTCCAGACTCGGTAGGCCGGCAGAACTACTGAAATCATGATAGTATGACTGCTGAGCGTACACTCCAGACTCGGTAGGCCGGCAGAACTACTGAAATCATGATAGTATGACTGCTGAGCGTACACTCCAGACTCGGTAGGCCGTATAGACTTGGAGAAGTAGAAACAAACAACTGATATTGCCAGGTAGAAGATAATTTGTTATAGCAAAAAATGTGGCTGCTCTATAATAGTCGCATTCATTTCAACAATATGTCTTAATGTTACAAAACAATTGTTAAGGGATTTTAGTTGATAAAGGGAAGAATAAAAGGAGGCGAGCACTTACCGCCAGGATGATGGACGGCCTCCTCCAGGATTCTGAGATATTATGATAAACCTGTAACAAATAACATTTGATCGTGTTATTTTTCGATAAATTAAAATGGCACAAACTGTTTCAAAGCTTGTTAAATTGTTTGAAACAATGTAGGAACAGCGCTTGTAATGTAACGTTTTTTAAAATATTTATGCTTATGCTTTTCCGTCTGTTGTAAAAAGAATACAACGATAATAAAAAGAGAAGATTTCAAGCAAAGTAGATAACGTAATCCCTTTCGAGTCTTATTGTTAGTGACATTGTCAGAGCTCAGAAATGAAGTTAATCACCTCTGGAAACAGTGAAAGATTTACCTCATCTCTAATTGTGATTTCTGGTCAGGCCGGATATGTCACTTGAAGGAGACAAAACCATTTTAAATTTCCTGGTACCTATTACATTACATTTTCACGTTTCCTTTTGATGATGATTTCTCTCGAATTCCCGATTGATGCCGATTACCTCTAGCCTTCTGGACTTTCAAAAGGTCGCTGTGTAATCGTGCGGGGCAATTTTGAAAAAAACAAATTCCTGGAACGTTTGTCGGGCGTCAAATACGTTTAACTTACTGACTAAGCGATTAAACCTAATATGAAGAACGGCCTTGATATCGCTTTTGCCTCAGATGTAGTTCTTCAATTTTTTACCACACTTAATTAATCCTTACTCAAGGAGAGAAGTACCATTTTCCTCTATTCTCCTGATTACATTAGTACAGAACCCGACAAGACAAATAACAAAGGTTTTTGCAGATGCATGCTGAAATAAGTGAGAGTTTGCCTAACTATAAAATTACAACTAACGCACCAATTCCATTAGTATGACTAAATAAACTCGCGATTCACTGGAAAAACATTTAAGCAAGGATATGTAACCCAACTCTATCTCACCAAACCTAACACCCTAACGCTACATAACCTAACCTAACCAGTCCCTAACCTAGTCCAATCAATACGCACACCCCGGTAATGCGAAATTTACACCGCAAAAAAAAACAATAACCTAAAATATATCCATAACCATGTTAAAAAAGTTGTGCTTAACATTCGCATATTTTCTCCCCTTTGCCTTCAAGGATATGATATAGAGGAGTCCAACCCAAGGGGTTAGTAAGATGGCAGCAGAAGCTGGAGTTCATGGCCTAAAACTCGTGCTTTGTACACTTACTAACCTACCTTAATAATTCGTAACATAACGTAACCTGTCCCTAACTCTTCCTAACCTTACCTAACAATAACCCTAATCTAACCAAGCCCGTCCCTGACACTAACACTAATAAAACTCAACCCATGTGCACTCCCTAGTAATGCGAATCGATGATTAAAAAATTGTGCATACTGTGCATAACCTGAAAAACATTGAATCAAGGCTATGTAACCTTACTGTTCGTAATCGTAGCTTTACCTAAGCTTACTTGTTCCTAATTCTAGCACTACTACATTAACCTGTCCTTGACGTTAGCCTAACTTAAACAAACTCTGACGATACCTACACTATCTTGTCCCTAACCCCAGCTTTACCTAAACTAACCTGTCCCTAACCCTTACCCTTTCTAGTCCAAACAATGCGAACTACCTGGTAACGCGAAATCGATTATGCCAAAAAATTTTATCCAGTCCCAAAACATTTCCAAATTAAAAAAAAGTGCTTCGCATTCACATATTTTGTCCGATTCAAAGAAAAACATTTTATCGTGGGCTATGCAAGCTAAGCTGTCTCTAACTGTAACCCTATATAACCTAAAATTAACCTCTGCGCCACTATTCGTTGATGCCACAAAAAAATGTATACATGCCAAAAATAAATTAATGTGACAAAATGTCGTGCTTCCCAGTAGGGAAGCATATCTTCTCTGCTTCACGGAAAAACATTGAAACATGGCTATGAAACTTTCCCTATCCCTAACAGTTACATAACAGAACCCTTCTTAACCGAACCCAACCTATTCGCACTACCCGGTAAAGGAAAAATGTTACCACAAAAAATTATTTATCCATTCCAAAAATAAATTCATGTGCGCAGATTTTCTCCACTTTAAGGAAAAACATTGAATCATGGGTATGTAACCTTACTGCCCCTAACCGTAGATCTACCTAAACTGCCTTGTCCCTATTCCTAGCTCTACCTAAATTAAGTTGTTCATAACCCTAACCCTATATAACTCAACACTTTCTGATAACGCGAAATCGAAAATGCAAAATATTTTATCCAGCTCAAAAATATTCCCAAGTTAAAAAAGTGCTTCACTCTCAAATATGTTGGTATGTGATCTAACCTGTCCCTAACATATGTTACAAATAACCTAAACCTATGTGCACACTTCGGTAAGCAAAAATGATCCGACACAAAATTGTGTATCCAGCCCAAAAGCATATCCACGTTAAAATGAAGTTAAACTTGCGCCAATTCGGTTGTCATGCTGATCACCAACACCACATATTTGTAGAACTATTTGAAACAATGAAATCTTTTGTGGGTCGGAACGAAGAAACGTTAAAGAACATCGTATTCAAAATTAGAAAATTAAAACTAATCTTTTCGGGTCGGGAATTTTCCCGGTTTAATTGAGTAATTAAAAGACCATGATGATTTTAATTAAATGAGCTCGTCATAGCCGTAATTTATACCATGGTGTACTGATTTAAAGCTGAATTAAGATGAATAGATGCAAAGTCCAATAAAGTTCCATCAAGAGACAACAGGACGAGTTTAAATAATAACTATTTTCAAAAAATCCGTTAATTTTCTTAATACACCATGGTCAAATGGTGAAATATTTATCGACCGTGATCGGCGTGGAAATGTCTTGCGTTTGTGAGCTTACCAGTTGGACATAATGTTCTCTGATGAAAAGATATTACTTATTAAAAGATCATATTTTCATGTCGTGTTCGGCGTATATACCGGGCGCTGTGGATATCCTGTTTTTTATCCTTCGGCGCACTTCCGATAAAGGGGTTATTATCGGCTTACGCAATGCTTTGTTGCACGATATAAAAATTCAACTCTGTATCGATTCAGGTCAACGTCAGTTCCGGAGATCGGTTTCAAAGCTAGCAAGCTGGAAATGCTGAGGAGAACTCGTACTATCAAAATCTGCCGCCCTTGGTAGAAGACTTTTTAAAGAGGGCACCGAAGCCTATCACCGTATTCTGAATATAATAAAAAGTAACGAACCGGGACCTCATTATTCTTGTGTTAATTTCAGCTGGAGACGTGTTCCTGTGGTGTTGGAAAATTATAATCTTAAATTCTGAACGTGTGGATTTATTACATCTGAGATTTTTTATATTATTTTTGTACCCTAATTATAAATGTTATCACAGAACATTTTTTCACGAGATCACAGCACACTAAAACCAGAGCTGCACACATGCCAAGAGAAATCACTGGCACGCAGTGTGAGGGATTATAGGGCAAAGATATCTCGAGGCGTTGTCCATGAAGGGGAAGTAGCTGGTTTCTCAGTTGGTAAAGTGTACGAAACGCTAGGGTAGTACGGTCAGGATTGAGAGGTTGGTGTGAAACCCGGTTGAAAGAGGACGGATGTCGTTGAGGACAGAGAGGTTAGTGACGCAATAAGGAGCTTTGACGATGTATTTGAGTACTTTTGATTGGAAAGATTGTATTCGCTGGATTTTGGATGGCTTGCAGGAACCACACAGTTCCACTCCTGTCCAAAGCAGTTGCAGTAATATTTTGCATAAAGTTAGTTGAGTTTTGACATAATATTGAGTGATTGTGGAAGTTCGTAGAGAGGAGAAGTCATCGCCATTATCCAGACTGATTCTCCTAACTTACGGAAGGGCTTTACCTTTAGTCTCATCGAAAGAGTTGATTTTTGTGTTTACAGAAACCAGCTACGCTGCCACTCAATATGGAGGATTAAGGGGATGAGGTATTCGTCGTTTAAGGCGACAGGGCAGGTTCTCAGGTTGAGAAGTACAGGTCAGTAAGTGAGGATAACTGGTGTGTAAATTTTGGAAGCGGGATCACCTCAGACAAAACTGTTGAGGTCGTTGTTTGTACTAAGGTTACTAGATTCTCAGCGGCGTTGTTGGAAACGTCGACAAATTGACGGAATACAGTGTACTTGTTATTACATAAACCACTGGCACTGAATATGGAGGATTAAGGGACGAATTGTTGAGGTTGTCGTCGTTTAAGACGAAGTGGCGGATTCTCAATTTAGGTAAAATGTAGAAAACCTTGAGCAGTATGGTCAGGATGGATCGAAAGCTTGACCTTGAACTTTTGGAGCAGGATTGGATCACCTCAGAAAAAAGAAATGGTGCATTCATTGTAAATAATGAGGTTTGTGATGTATTAAGGACATGTGATAGTCTGTTTGAGACTTTTGATGAGAAGGCTTGGATGGATTGGATATTGGAAGGTTTGGTGGACCAACACAGTTCCAAATATGTCCGTAGTAATGATTTGTACAGAGTTATTTGAGTTTTGATGGAATACTGAGGAAAAGTGAATATTAATTTTGATCAGTATGGTCAAGTTGGTTAGTGAGAAACTTTTGATTTGGGATCAAATCACCACAGACAATAGAAATGTTGAGGCATGGTGGATACTGAGTTTAAATTCGTAAGAAGCTTTGATATTTTGTCAAAGCATTTTTATTGAAAGGACTGAGTGAGTTGGCTATTGGCCAGTTTGGCCGACCAACACATTTCCACATATCCATAGTAATGTCTTGTATAGAGCTATTTTAGTTTTGATGTAATATTACGGTTGTAGTGGAGATTAGTGACGCATTAAGAAGGTATGCCTGAAACTGGATTGAGGTTTGAGAACTTTTGATTCGAAGGCATTCGCTGGATATTGCCTAGCTTGGACGAATCATACAATCCCACTCCTGGCCAAAGCAGTTGCAGTAATGGTAATGTCTTTTATACAGTTAGTTGAGTTTTGATGGTCAAGACAGATTTTGGTCTTAGAAATTTTTCGTGCCTCTTAAGTTTTGTGTGGGTATTCCACGTCAATCTGCTGGCTAGGTATAATCTCAAGTT